TTAAATTTTACGAATATTCTCTCTTTAAAGATATTAAGTTGATTGGAAAAGGAGGATACGAAAAAGTATACCGTGCTACTTTTACAAATAACGAAATTACCGTCGCATTAAAATCATTTGAAAGTAATAATGTGACTATTAAAGGAATTGTTAACAAGGTAGCTATAATCATACAAGATTAATGATTTATTATAACATACTGCATAATCTGTATAGCTTGAATTACTTTGTAGAGTGGACATGCATTCTAACATTATACGACTGTACGATGCTACTAAGAATGAAGGTGAAACCACCAATTTAATTTGTAAATTTTTTCTTGTGAAATGTTTTACAGAAAGATATTAATAATATACAATATATGTAATAGATAAAATAGATCCGGGTTCTACACATTATATGCTTGTTCTTAAATATCTTTCTTGGAATGATAAGATCAATTTGCATTATAGATTGTCATCGCAGTTAAATGTTTGCATGTTGAAAATATAGTACATTGTGATCTGGTAACTTTTTATACATGTAAATATAATCTTGATTTAATATCTTTATTAACTGCTTATAATTTTTAATAGCATTCAAACAATATACTTGTTCATCAAAAATGTATTAAACTTACAGACTTTGGACTTTCAAAAAGATTAGATAAAGTGACACATTCAACCCGAAAATTTGATGGGGTGATTCCATACATGGATCCACAAAATTTTGGAATATCAAGAAATAGAAAATTTAAGTTCAACAAAAAATCAGACATATATAGTATCGGAGTTCTTTTGTGGGAGATTTCTAGTGGCTATCCACCTTTTAAAGATGATATTGAATAACATCAGCTTGCAAGCTTAATGGTGGATATTAGTAATGAATGGTACTCGAGAAAGTCCCATTTAAGGAACACCACCAGCATATATCAAGATCTATACGGTATAGAATTACTTAATTATTTTATTTGAAAAAATTTTTAATTAATAAATAGATTGTTGGCATGAGGATCCTGATAACCGCCCAGATATTTAGCAAGTTTTTTTAGACCTTGGAGCTTTAATTATCAATGATGAGGTTATAAATAGAATTGAACAAGAATCTAATACCCAAAAATCAACTCAAATTAGCAGTTTAGGGTCAAATATGTTTATTTCTTATTCAACACAGGCAATTTTAATGCAAAGCACCTCTTCATCATCATTAAGCTCTGATATAGTGAGTGAATATGAGAAAATGCTTGTAGATTTAAATAAATCATTAGAAATTGATCAAAATGATGTTTTTGTATTAAGAAAACGTGCGGAAACCTATTTCATGATGGACAGATATAAAGAATCACTTACATATTAAAATAAATTGTTAGAAATTGATCCTATGATGGCCTACATTAAGTATTCGTGCTGTAACATATTATCAATTAAGTAGATATGAAGAATCACTTGCAAATTTAAATAAATCGTTAGAAATTGACTAAATAATATATTTGTATTAAGAAATATTGAAGCAATTTATCGTTTGATGAGAAGATATCAAGAACCACTTGCAGATTTAAATAAATCGTTAGAGATTGAACCAAATAATTCATTTACATTAAGTTCTCGTGGTGCAACTTATCGCATAATTAGAAGATATAAAGAATCACTTGCAGACTTAAATAAATTACTAAAAATCGAACCAAATTATGCATTTGCATTAAGAAATCGTGGTTCAACTAATTGCATGATGTGCAGATATGAAGAATCACTTGCAGACTTAAATAAATCACTAAAAATCGAACCAAATGATGCATTTGCATTAAGAAATCGTGGTTCAACTTATTGCATGATGTACAGATATGAAGAATTACTTGCAGATTTAAATCAATCTTTAGAGATTGAACCAAATAATGTAGATAGATTATATTGGCATGGAACAACTTATTGCATTATGAGCAGATATTGCATATTTAAACTAATTAGAAATTGAACCAAATAATGTAGATGGATTAAATTAGCATGGAGCAACTTATTACATTATGACCAGATATGATGAATCACTTGCAGATTTAAATAAATCATTAGGAATTGAACCAAATGATGCAAACGCATTAGTTATTCGTGGAGTAGCATGGCATGATGAGCAGATATGAAGAATCACTTGCAGATTTAAATAAATAAATCATTAGAAATTGAACCAAATAATGCATGGGCATTAAGTTTTCACCGAGCAACTTATTGCATGATAAGCAGAAGAAGAATTACTTGCGGATTTAAATAAATCATTAGATATTGAACAAAAAAATGATGTATGGTCATTAGGCAATTGTGAAGTAACTTATTGCAGATATTAAGAATTACTTGCAGATTTAAATAGATCATTAGAAATTGAACCAAATAATACATGGGCATTAAGAGAGTGTGGTCTAGTTTATCGTATTCTGAGCAGATATGAAGAATCACCTGCAGATATAAATAAATCTTTAAAAATAGAAACAACGAATGCATGGCATTATACCTAGAGTTGTACATTTTGGCATGTTCAAAGCTTTTTTGGACATGTTCAATATCCAAACATCCAAGTGTTCAAAGTGTCCAAGCTATTTATAGTCTTAAATATTTTAGTAATATAGTAGAAATAAAAATTATATGATTATATTCTTTATTTAAAACATTTTGTTTAAAAGATTTGAATAAGTTATTTTAATAAAAGTTTAAGTACATTTGCTTTATTTTTTTGTCTGAAATATTTAAAATCTTGTTTATATACAACACTACACAGTCGAAATTTTTATTTTTTTTAAAATTAATCAGTTATTATTATCCTTATATCGGCTAAATATACAACCACCTATCATCAAGCAGATAGTAGGCTGATATGCAGAAAATTAAAGGCGATATTTGAAAAAAGGGTGATGCTATATATCAACCAAATATCAGCTACCTATCTGTAACTAATCTTTTTGACATATTTTTTTCAAACACTCACCTATTGGTATTTATTGGTATCCAATATTAAGCTAAGATTTTTAAAAAAATATTGGTTCAATATCAGATACCAATAGATATTAATAGGTGAGTGTTTGAAGAAAATATGTCAAAGAGATTAGTTACAGATAGGTAGCTGACAGGCCTACCAAAAAAATCAATTAAAATTAAATTTTGCTATACATCATACAATTAAAATCAATTAAAATTATCATAAAATTAATTGAAATCCAATTAATAGTGAAATATTTCCAATTAATTGCAATTAAATTAAATTTTCTTTTATTATACATACTGCTTAGAGCATTACATACAATATGTACCAATTTTTAAATATATAATAAAAAATTAAAAAATCATTGTAATTGTTAATTGTATGGTGCTGTAATTGTTAAATAGCTACATACACTAAATCAGAAAAGAACATACTATGCTTATGCAAGAGTTTTCAACAATTAATAACCTGCATGTACATATAATAATAAACAAATTTAGAAATCTTATACTTTTATATGTAATTTGACGAATTCTGGCCCTATTTTTTTTTTTAAAAAAAAAACAAGTTTAGATTATTTAATTTGGTTGATATCTTGAATTAACCACAATTTATCATTCATTCTGAGTAGCAAAAGGTTTTCCAAAGTATGTAGATCAAGAGATTTTTGCCAATCTGTATAGTAGTATTTGATGATTGAGAACAAACGCTTTACTGCATTTGATGTAGAAGGTATAATTTTTATATCTATAAATTTAAACTCTTCTAGCTTGTGTTTTTTTTAAACTCATTCTTTCATAGTTATATATGTAGGTTCTTCTGCTGTCGATTGTATATCATGTTTAACAATAAATGCCTGAAGTTTTTGTTTCTCAGTAAATATTAATATGGCTTCTTGTTTGCATAATACTTTGATCATAGCCTCTTTGAAAATAATATCATAAATAATTAGAGTATTTCTTCCTAATCAATTATCCAAATCTGGAAATTCTTCAAGTAATAAATTGAAATATGTGCGAACATTGTCTAAATTTATTGACTCATTCTGTAAATCATTAGTTGCTTCTGCAAAAGATTTAAGTTTATTAATAAAATCATTAACTTCTTTGAGATCTAATTGCTCTACTAATGAAATATCTTGACCTAAGAAATAAAAAATTAAAAATTAAAAAATTAAAATTAAAAAAAAAAATTAAAAAAAAAATTAAAAAAAAACTAAAAATAAAATAGTTAAATTAACCTGAAAATCTATTAGTTTGAATAATATGTGGAATAAGTTCTTTACATCGTTTAACTATTTTTAATACACTCATCTATCTAGTTGCATTATCTAATATAGGATTTAAAGATGTCACCTTTACAAGTTTTCCGCAATTCTTGTAAGTTTGCATTATTATTACAATTGCATGAATTTGACTTACAAGAGCAGATGATGAATTAATAAAATCGTTAACAGCTAAATTTAGATGATGCGATGCATATTCTACAAGCAGAAAATTCCAATTATTGGCAATTTTCTTATTAGTGCTACAATTATCTCCTGAAAGAAACAAGATGTCTTTAATACTTTTATTATATGATTCTAGAATATCCTCAAAAAACTTAATATGTGCATCTGCACTTTGAGTACTAGAGTCTTCAAATGAAGAAAATATAAGCAAAACTAAATTTCTGGGTTTGTGAACTATTTGATAAATACCAAATAACCCAACAAAGTGAATCTCATTATTTGTCCACCCATTAAAAATAATTCCAATCTTTTTTAGTAAGATATTTTTTATTCTTTCTCATATGATATCTACTAAGCTGTTAAAATATTTGCTAACTGTAGCAACATCCAATCTTGAAAAACTTGTATGTGCAACAAAATCCAGATTTTCATAGATGTTAAAAAGTAATTGATACTTTACAATTAGACTTATCCAATTAAAAATATTATACACACTTGTGTTATAATTAAAAATATCAGCATTTGCTGTAGAGGTAGATTCAATACGTTGTTGATATATTAACTTAAAACTTTCATGTTTCATACTTAAATGATTCATTAAATTTGTATAGCTACTTCCTTTTTTTTGAGATATTAATTGTGAGCCAGAAGGACACAAATTACATTGGTGTTTACTATCATTTATAGGTTTAAAAAAGGCCTCAACATAAAACTTATTTGAAACTTTTGTACTCATTAATGCTATCATAAAAATGAAAAAATAAGCATACTACTTTGATGTCTATACAATTTTATATATTATGAAATTTAATCAATAATTTATTTAACTCAAATATATTACATTACTCAAGTTTGACATATTAAATTAATAAATTTTGTCAGTGAATATATTGTAGGCTAATTACATAAAAATTGTAATTAATTGATCAATTGTGGCTGCATCACCAATTAATTAATTGTATTCGAAAAATTGCAATTAATTGCCTTGCAATAATTTTTTCAGTAGGCCTAGTAGCTAATATTTGGTTGATATATAGCATTACTCTTTTTTCAAAATATCATTTTTAATTTTCTGCATATTAGCCTATCTGCTTGATGATAGATAGTTATATATTTAGCTAATATAAAAATAATAATAACTGATTAATTTTAAAAAAAATAAAAATTTTAACCTATACTAATTATATCAATATAAAAAGATTTATGATATAATAAATAAAATTTAATTTAAATATAAATAATTTTTTTTTTGTTATTAAGGCAATTTCCTTGGCTGATTAGATTTTATTAATTTGTTATTATAAAGTTACTATAGTAGTAATTTTTTAAAGTTTTATAGTTACATAATAAGTATACAATAAGTCATATGTATAATTTTAGTTATTGTTTAATTTAAATAGTTTGCTATACAGATATTAGACTATTTGTTAGTTTTACACTATGCTGTTATACTTGCAACTTGTCTATTTAAATATTCTGATTATTAACTCTTCTCTTTATTTCAAACTAATATTACTACTATATCTGATTACTTAAGCTAGCTAACTTTCTTATAAATCTATTTACTGCATAGCTTAAGTCCTCTCAAGATATATATTATCTAACATATTATAAGTACACAGAGTTCTAATTAATCTTAAAAGTATACTTACTAGTATAGTCTATATCTATTTTATGAATTTACTTAGCTTAGAATATCTGCTTTAGATGCAGTAAATCAAGTTTATGTCATAGTGCAATTCTTGTTAATATTTGTACAAACCTAGATACAGTAATAGACTTCTATTAGATTAGTTCTCTAAGATTTTAGTTAGATATTTTACAAAATAAATTCTCTTAATTTAGTTAGCTATTAAGCCAAGTTAGTATTGTTACTAATACAAGATACTAGGCTATATTATATAATAAACTTACTTATATCTACTCAATCTATATCTTTTATATACAGATTTTTTTACTAGATCAAGTATTAACTAGTGTAACTATTAAAATCTATACTACTTTATCAAACTCAGAATTTCTACTATATAGGTTCTCTGATTATAGATTTTATTAAGATTTATTTTTATTTTTATTTTTTTTTATTTTTTATTTTTTATTTTTTTATAATACCAAAATAGAAACTTTATTTATTAAAATAATAGAATTAAGTCTATGTATAATAGTTAAGATTTCTAAAATATTTATACTATAATTAAAATACTTAATATAATATTACACCTTATATTTTTTAAAAAAGTTAAAATTATTATTTCAAATTAAATTTAAATTAAGGATAGGTTAGAAGAAAATCTTAAGGTATTAGTCTTGATATTATTTTTTTTTTATTTATTATTATTAAGGCAGCTTATATTGCTAAAAGAATTTTATTAGAATTGTATATAGAATATATATTAATAGTCCCTACTATTTGTAATTACATGAAGAATGTACAACAAGCTACATGTACAACTTTAGTCATTGTCTAATTTAAGTAGTCTGCCACATAGATGATTAGACTATCTAATTATGCTACTATATCTGTAATCTGCCTGTGAGTTATCTATTTAAATACTCTGTTTATTAACCTATACAGATCCAATATAATATCATCACAACATATAACTGCTTAAGCTAGCTAGCTCATTACAGATCTATTTATTCAGAACAGCTTAGGTCCTCTCAGGATATATTAT